CCAGTACCCCCACCCCTCTGGCGTGCAGTGTACCACTCACGGAGCTGCTGAGGGGAGGGGATGTCACGAGTGCGCTGCTGGTGCTGCTGCTGCTGCTGGCGCTGACCACCACCGGAGCCGACCCTCTGCGCAGCGCCACCCCGACCAGCTCCACCTCCTCCGCCGCCTCCTCCTCCACCGCCGCCACCTCCGCTCCCTCCGCCACTGCCGCTGCCGCCTCCGCCTCCACTGCCGCCACCGACACCTCCACCCCCGCCACCACCCCCACCGCCACCCCCACCTCCTCCACCGCCTCCACTGCCGCCTCCACCGCCCCCGCTAGCTCCTCCAGCGCCCCTGCCCCCCTTGCCCTTGCCAGGGCGGCGTCTCCCGCTAGGGGTAGACGCCGCACCGACCGACTCAAGCCCAACGAGGTCGGCCGCAGCAGCAGAGGCAACAGAGGGCAAAAGGGGGGAGGGGGAACACCCCTCAAAGATGGGGGTGCGAGGGTCACCACGAGAGGCTCCTACAGCTACTATGCTCTTCTCTGCTGCTAGGAGGGACTTCTCGAGGAGGTCAACGGTGAGAGTGGTGGGGCAAACTGAGAGGAAGTGGTCCCTGACTACGCGAAGGGAGTCAGGGAGCCGGGTGACTATGTAGTAGAGGGTGATGTACATGGGGGGGGGGTTCTTGGCGCAGAACTCAGCAGGAAGCGCAGCGCGGTAGCGAGTGTCACTAGTGCGTAGGTGCGTAATGAGGTCAGCGACTGTGGGAAAGGCAGCAAGGTCAGGGAAGAGGTACGGTAGCATGAGGCGACTCAGTGCAGCAGTGGCAGGGGAGGAGTAGCGTGCAACTACAGCGTCGTACAAGGTCTGAGCACTCTTGTACTGGCTAAAGTGCGCACGCTCAGAGGTAGGCAGGTGGCGACGCACAGCAAGACGTGCAGCAGCATCGCGCGTGGCCCACTGGGAGCGAACAGTTGCGTCAGCATCAGTGGCGGGGGCAGGAGAGGCACCAGAAGTGAGGTCAAAGAGGGAGAGGCCGTCTGCCCTATCGCACTGTAAGAAAAGCTGCAGGTCATCTATCCAGACGTCAAAGTCAATGGCCCGACCCTCAGCGTCAAAAGCGAGAACACTAGGGGTAGCCATGACAGCAGTAGACTAGCAGCGCAAACAGTGGGGTGAGGGCAGTGCTGTGAGAGAGGCGCTGCTCTTACCGGACAGGGCGGCTCGGGCGGCTCGGCTGCAGGGCGGCTCGGCGACTCGGCTGCTGGGCGGCTCGGCTGCTGGGCGGCTCGGCGGCTGGGCGGCTCAGCGGCTCGGCTGCTGGGCGGCTCGGCGGCTTTGCTGCTGGGCGGCTCGGCTGCTGGGCGGCTCGGCGGCTCGGCTGCTGGGCGGCTCGGTGGCTCAGCTGCTGGGCGGCTAGGCTGCTGGGCGGCTCGGCGGGGCCGCTGAGAGGGCGGCGTCCGGGGCCGCTAGGAGGAGGCGGCGGGGCCGCTGAGAGGAGGCGGCGTGGCCGGAAAGGTAGGTGGCGGGGCCGCGTCAGGGGCCGCGACAGGGGCCGCGTCAGGGGCCGCGGCAGGGGCCGCGTCAGGGGCCGCGGCAGGGCCGCGTCAGGGCGCCGCGTCAGGGCGCCGCCAGGGGCCGCGGCAGGGGCCGCGTCAGGGCCGCGTCAGGGCCGCGGCAGAGCCGCGTCAGGGCCGCGTCAGGGGCCGCTTCAGGGCCGCGGCAGGGGCCGCAGCAGGCCGCGTCAGGGCCGCGTCAGGGGCCGCGGCAGGGCCGCGTCAGGGCCGCGGCAGGGGCCGCGTCAGGGCGCCGCGTCAGGGGCCGCGTCAGGGCGCCGCCAGGGGCCGCGGCAGGGCCGCGTCAGGGCCGCGTCAGGGCCGCGGCAGAGCCGTGTCAGGGCCGCGTCAGGGGCCGCTTCAGGGCCGCGGCAGGGGCCGCGACAGGCCGCGTCAGGGCCGCGTCAGGGGCCACGGCAGGGCCGCGTCAGGGCGCCGCCAGGGGCCGCGTCAGGCCGCGTCAGGGCCGCGTCAGGGCGCCACCAGGGGGCGCGTCAGGGGCCGCGATAGGGCGCCGGCAGGGGCCTCGTCATGGCGCCGCATCTGTGCGACGGTGGCGAAGCATCTCGCGTCCCACCCTGTCACCTCCCGTCCCATCCAATTTCCCCCTTTCCAATGCCTCCCCCTTTCCGATCCCTTGCTCGATCCTCAGCATCAACTTCGCTTGGCCAGTGCCCTCCCTGTTTTCCTCTCCCTTTCCCCCTGTCCGCCTCTCCCTTTCCCCCTGTCCTCCTCTCCCTTTCCCCCTGTCCTCCTCTCCCTTTCCCCCTGTCCTCCTCTCTATTTCCCCCTGTCCTTCTCTCCCTTTCCCCCTGTCCTCCTCTCCCTTTCCCCCTGTCCTCCTCTCCCTTTCCCCCTGTCCTCCTCTCCCTTTCCCCCTGTCCTCCTCTCCCTTTCCCCCTGTCCTCTCCCTTTCCCCCTGTCCTCCTCTCCCTTTCCCCCTGTCCTCCTCTCCCTTTCCCCCTGTCCTCCTCTCTATTTCCCCCTGTCCTTCTCTCCCTTTCCCCCTGTCCTCCTCTCCCTTTCCCCCTGTCCTCCTCTCCCTTTCCCCCTGTCCTCCTCTCCCTTTCCCCCTGTCCTCCTCTCCCTTTCCCCCTGTCCTCTCCCTTTCCCCCTGTCCTCCTCTCTATTTCCCCCTGTCCTCCTCTCCCTTTCCCCCTGTCCTCCTCTCCCTTTCCCCCTCTCCTCCTCTCCATTTCTCCCTGTCCGCCTCTCCCTTTCCCCCTGTCGTTCTCTCCCTTTCCCCCTGTCCTCTCTCCCTCCCACCCTTCCTCCCCCTCTCTCACATCCCTTCCTTTCCTACTGTCCTCTCCCACCATTCACGCTTCTCTCAGCCATCCCTTTCCCCCCTCCCCTGTCCCTCGATTTCCCCCACTACCGTCCCTTCCCTTTCCACTACGTTCTCTCGTCCAGCCCAGCCGACAGTACCAGCTTTGCTTGGCCACTGAAGGCTGTCTATCATATCTCAGTTTCCATGCTCTCTTCAATTTCCCTACCTAACATTCTTCAATAATGTGCAACGTTTCCTTCCCTTCCCCACCTCCCCCCCCCCCTCCCCCCTTTCCCCTCCCCCCTCCTCCCTGCAAATGGACAGCTGCACCAATAGTGGATCGGAGTGTAAAAATCTGCTCTCCTTGGATGATGCCATGTTTGCTTTTATCCTTAGCATAATAAGGATTTCAATATGACATTCCAAGTCTTGCACATCTGTACAGTTGATGTTCTTTCTCCCCATTAGAAATATTACTCTTGCAAATGGATGGATAAATAAACCAAAATAAAACTTGAAAGTGAAATTGGTATTTTGCGCAGCCTTTTTGGAACATAAGGTTTCTCGTTTTGCAATGTGGAGGTGTTATTGGCAGAACAATCAGCGAAAGGGAGTATGGGGGTGTTGATGTGGTCCCATTTCCCGTTTCGTGTGTGTTCCCCCCTTTCCTTCCCCCCAACCCCTTCCCCCCCACTTTTCCTTTCGAGGTTCGCGACATTCACCTTAGATGTTCCCCACTTTTCCTTTCGAGGTTCGCGACATTCACCTTAGATGTTTTCATCGCAACACGACTTACACTCTCGCTAGCCAATTGACTACCAGTACGGAACAAGACAAAACCCGGTTTGACACTGTTCCTAAGATAGTTGCACCGCGGCTTTAATAGTCGTGCTTTTCCCTGGGAACAGTTTTTACTCCAACGGGGCGTCGAAGGGCGCAGCCGCGAAAGCACTGCTTGGCAAGTATGTCCTGTGGAGCTAGATAATTTTCGAAATACGATTAGCACGGATGATTCCCGCATTCGGCGCTTCGACGATTAAGGGGGAATCATCCGTGATAACCTCATCCAATGGCAAACCGATCAGGAGGATACTTGGGATGGCCTGCGTACTTCCGCCACCCACTGCCGCTGACTTTCCACTTCTCGCATGTGGGTTTGATGTGTACGGATGCGGTGAACGGACGCGCCGCAGCAGCCATCGCAACAGTCCCGCCCGATAGTCCCGAGATAAACACGCGGGAATCCCTGTTTGCCAAACAGTCCGACCCGTTCACTTCGGTCAGCCCACGAGGCTCGGAAAATCCGGAAGATAACTTTCTCGCTCGTTTTACATTGGCAATTAATGAACGGACGAGATCTGAGCAAAATGATCGACTGCCACTTCGTGTTTCGCGGAAAAATAGTCACACAGGGAGATTGAATGATGCTAGAGATGTAGGCTCCGTGCTCCGTGCAGTGGGAAGTAGGGACTATGGCAGTCGGTTGTGTAGCGCCTAGGAGCAAGAGCAAGATTCAAGGGCCAGGAGCATTTACAGGTACGCTGCTAGTCTCTAAGACAAGCACTTGCAGGAGAGCCTGTGGATTTGCTTGCCGTGTGAATGTGAACAGTTGGCGCCACCTGTTGAACGAACTGCAACTTCTGGCAAAATCTGTGTTTCACTGGCGGTGAGATCATGTCATTTGATGAACCAATATTCTCGGGATTGTCGAACGAGGGGCGGAGAGGAGAGCTCCAGCTTGCATGCAAGGGTGGCGCACTGATGCCATCTGGCAGGTCGGCTTGCAAAACACTCTTCAGGGAGGGTCGAACCTCGCTCAGATTATGTTCAGCAGAAGCGGTTGAATACGATGTTGCACAATCTACAGCGGTTTGAACACTTCCGACTTCCAATCGATGTTTGACCTGGCCTAATTTGGCACACGAAGTCCTACTAGTACTGTATTTTGAAAAGGCAGGTTGATTGCAGGTTGACTATCAGAGTCATAAAACATGAGTTACAGCTTGTGGATCTCCATACTTTCGTAAACTTCACTTTATTACTCCTCTTAACCCAATCACACTTGCAATAACATCAGTACCAAAACTTGCTACAAGATTCACCAGAAAAGGCCAGGAAAACAAGCCTCAAAACCAACTCGGAGCTATAAATCTGCTCCGGAAAACCCGCACTGAAACACAAGCTGGATGGCTATGCAATGTGCTCCACCTCTCCCTTGAACGTTACTTTCTTTCCCAGCTGCCTCAGAAACCTGCGCGGCTGCTTCAGTCCCCATCTGCCAGCGGGCTGGTGTTCTCCCCCATGTCCATGCCCATGCCTAGGCCCATGCCCATGCTCACGTACGTGGGGATCCTCTTCCCCATGACTGTGCCTTATACCCTGCTCTTGCTCATGCTTAGCCTGACGCTGATGAGCACCATGACCTTGCCTACTGGCATTGCCACCCGTCCTTGAGCCATCCTTTGACCCCGTTGACCCCTCTGACCCCTTTGACCCCTTTGACCCCTTCAACTCCATTGACTGACCCCCGGGTTTCTCCCCCTTGAGCTCAGAGGCCCCTTGAGAACCGTATGCCAGCCCTTCTGCTTCCCACGGATTGCGCGGCTGCTGAGGCTGCTGAGGCTGTTGAGGATGCTGAGGAGGCTGAGGTTGCTGCTGAGGTTGCTGCCACGCCGCCCCCAAGCTCTGGGACCTTCTGTGCTTAGGAGGCCGAGACTCTGACGACAATGCGCTGTTGCCTGTGTTCGCACCACTGGTGACGCTGCTTGCGCCGCTGACAGGTGTTACGGCGCCGTCGCTATCGGTGGAATACCAGGGGAAGCCACTGCTGATGCTGCTCGCGATGCTGCTCAGGCTGAAACTGCTGCTTCTCCTCCACGACCTGCTCTCCCTTCTCTTTCCACTCCCCTTACCACTCCCTTTACCACTCCCTTTACCACTCCCCGGTTCGCTCCACTCTTCACGCTCCTCTTCATCCCTTTCATCCTCTTCATCCTCTTCAGCATCACCCACCTCATCATCCACTCCTCCCGTCTTCCCGCTGCCGTTCCCGCTGCCATTCCCACTGCTAATGCTCCGCCTGAGCCGCCGAACCCACCGCCTGCCAAGGCTGCTGCTGATGCTCGTTCGAATGCTGCTTGCCAAAGAAAGGCTGTTTCTGATAGTCAGGCTGGTTCTGGCGTTTCTCTCAGCCCTGATCTCCTCCGCTGGAACCTCCTCCTGCGCTGCCACGGCCTTCCTTGCTCTCCTCGCTTCCCTCCTCGCCCTCCTCTCAATCCGCTCGTCAATCCTCTCCGCTCCCTCCATCCGATCCGTCGCTTCTCCTGATCCCTTCTCAGGGATACCACTGCTGGTTTTCGGAGAGCTGCTGGTGTTAGGATGGCTGCTGCTGCTCATGCTCCGACTGATGCTGGTGCTGCTGGTGCTGCTGGTGCTGCTGGCGCTGCTGGTGGTGCCAGCGACGTTGGGCTGCACACCCCTCTCCGCAGCAGTAGGCGGATTGCGCTCAGCCCTGAGCCCTGTGCTGCGAGATTCGCCTGCTGTGTCGACAATACCACTACTGCCCACTCTGTCACTGATCTTTGTGCAGCTTCCTATGCTGCTCGCAGCAGCACGGCTGTCTCTCACAGCGTGTGATGAGGCTGCGTGTACATTCTTGCTGCCGCTGCCAGCACGGATATCCATGCCCCCAGGACGCTGCTCCAACACTCCAGCACTCGCCTCCGTACTACCAGCACCGGCACGGTTCTCCATGCCTCCAGCGCGGGCCTTCATGCTGCCAGCACCGGCACGACTGCGCACAACAGCAGCATAGAGCCCGATGAAATCGTCGTCCGAGTCACTCGACTCATCCCCGCCGCCCACACCGCACTCAGCCCACTCCTGCCCCTTGCGCTGCTTCGCCCCCTTCTCCTTCTGCGTCAGCGCGTTGCTGGAAGGGGAGGAAGCCGTTTGCCCCGTTTGCCCCGTTTGACCCGTTTGACCTGGCAGATCAAGAAGCGTCAGGCGACCCGGGTGAGAGGTGAGACCCAGTTGACCCAGTTGACCCGGGTGGGTGGTGTTGCCGTGCAATGCAGCAGAATGCGAATGGGTTTTCCGGTGCCCTTTCGCGGATGACGAAACTGTTTGACCCAGTTGACCCGTTTTCCCTGGGATCTCGAGATGAGGCAGGTACCTGGTGTGACCGCCGTGACTGGGGTGACTGGGGTGGGAGTGCGGTGCAGCAGAGTACGGTGCAGCAGAGTGCGGTGCAGCAGAGTGCGGTGCAGCGGAGTGCGACTGGGATCGCTTGTGGGTTCCCAGCTGCAGCTGTTTCCTGCCTGAGCCGCTGCCTTGGCGCGCAGGAGGCGGGAGAGACGCGCCGGGCCGGTCGCCCCTAGAAATGGTCGCATGCGGGACGTGCGGAGAAGCAGTAGAGCCGTGTAGAGCAGTAGCAGGGCCGTGCAGAGCAGGAGCAGAAGCGTGCAGAGCAGCACCAGAGCCGTGGCGAGAGGTAGAAGAGGCAGAATGAGGGGCATGTAGCGCAGCAGCAGCAGGGCTGCACGGGTCGTCCCACTGGCAAGCGCGCTGACCGCTGCTGCCGATGCTGCTTGTCATCACAACAGGGTATCTATGCCCGGTGCTGCTGCTGCGGTAGATCGCTATATCTTCCGCGTCCGGTCCGTGAGAAGAAGTGTCGGTCGCAACGCTGTCGCACTCCCAGTTATTGTCCCACGCGGCGCCGTTCGCATTGCACGCCGCATAGCTCGTATCGAACGGGTCGGATAGTTCGTGAGACGACCGCGGCGCACACGTGGCAGCGCCCCATTCGTCCAGATCGACTGACGCGAATCGCCTGGACCACCCAGGCTCGGAGGCTGGGGATCGGACGGATCTCACCGAACCTCCGATTCGCGGTCCCCAAGCCGCGTCGTCTGAATCATCCTCATTGTGGCATTTCGGCGCCATGGATGATATCGGGGGGGACTTTGACGCGTACATGCTCTTGCTCCTGATAATGGAGCTGCTTGTAACGAGGCTGTTATTACCGGGGCTGATCCTGCCGGAAGTGCCGGGTCCACGTGGGCTCCTTCTCAGCACGCCACGTGGCGACGATGTGCTGGCAGGTGAGGGCGGCGGCAGGGGCGCAACGACACTCCTAGCAGCGGCGCCACTTCCGTATCGCGGGCTGTCCTGTCCGCACTGACGGATCTGATTGCTCTCTGGAAGGATGTGACTGTACTGAGGGCTGCCACGAGAAATGTGACTGTATCGAGAGTAGCTGTGGCTGTCAGCAGGGCTGCCACCCCCCTTGACGGGGCTTCCGCTCCCCCCCCCTGCAGCAGCAGCAGCAGCAGCCCAAGCCGCGGCGGGAGCAGTGTGCGGATACATCACCATGGGAGGCGCCACGTCAGCAACACCAGGAGGGCTCGGATGTATCCTGAACTGCCGACTGCTCTTGCTGCCACGTGGCGCAGCGATTACAGGCGAGCCCAGATCCGGGTTGCTGCTGACGTGGCTGCTGATGTGACTGTTGGAAAAAATGACGCCGCTTTGGGTCCTGCGGTGGTGCAGACGAACGCTCCTCGAAGCTTCCGAATCCGGAATCTGCAGGCTCCGCGGAGATCCCGCTGCCAGCATGGCGGCTGCTGGAGGCCGCCGCGGGCTCTCCACGTGGATGGAGAGCTGCCTCGAGTCGCGCCGCTGCGTCCCCTTCCGCTCGTTCCGCAATGCAGCCCCGGATCCGGCGCTACTGATCTCCGCCGCCGCCGGTGCCGGTACAGGAGGCGCGTCGCGGCTGCTGACGCGGCGAACAGGGTCCGGAATCATCACTCTTGGCGTCGGAGCCGCCGCGGATTCGGAGAATACTAGGAGCGTTTCCGCCATGGCAGCAGCAGCACCAGCAGTAGCAGCAGCAGCAGCAGCAGTCTAGTCCGACGCACACCGGGTAACACTCCCGTACCTTGATAGATACTCAGCGGCTCGTGAAGGAATACCTCCAACTACCACAACTCGCTCCAATAATGTCGGTCGTTCGCCGTAAGTACGAAGGAGATCCAGGAACAGTGAAGAGAGGCTCGTCTTAAGGAGAGAGAGGCTCGTCTTAGGGAGATTAACAATGTCAGACCAAGAGGGTATAGCTCGCGACTCGCCGATTATCCACTGAAAGAGCCGACGGTGCAGCTCTCGGCGAGCTACCCGTAACGAGTGTGACACTAGCGGGGATGAGCCGCCTGCATTGCTCCGTAAAAATCCCTTTCGTGTGGTACCAGAAACGATGCTACTTGAAAGCCAAGCCGGTCACAGCGACTTGCTAACCTCCTCCAACTCGAGTCTAACCGGAGCGAGGGAAGGAATCTGGTCTCGGTCGGAAGGGACGCTCTTAGAGTTGGACAATAGTCTATGGTAATGATTCTTAGAGTCGGAGTGTACATTGTCTATGGTTGAAACTCTAGCCAGGGAGTCTGGCCAGAGGGAGGTGCCTTTGTAGTAGCTGGGAGTTAGGCGAACGAGACGCTGTGACGCGGTGAGACAGGAGGCACGGACGGAAAGAACGATCTTTGGCAGCAAAGCAGCAGCGACGGCCATGGATTTTTTGTTCCGCGAGCTGGCAGATCGAGACTGTTTCCGGAATTCTCGGGCTGAATCTCGGACGAGATCATACATGTACAGTGTACGTGAAACAGAATGCCAAGCCAAGAGGTGACCCTGAGACTACGCGCACGGGCGGCGAGAGGTACCACGAGCAAGCATACCACGCCATCATCCATCCATTTTCCAAGGTCCGTGTGTCTGTACTGTAAGCAGCAATCCGTTTGAGGTCACCCATTAATGGGGCCGAACGTTTGCGAAACAGATGACGGCAAGACGACGCCAGATGCTGTCGGAACATCTCGAGCCGCATTAGTTTACCGACAAGCTGGATTACTATACACGTATTGGTGAGCTGCTGGTTGATCCGTACTAAGCGGTCGACGAATTCCAACTGGACTAGCTGGCGAAGAGCCTTTTCCAGGACGGATGACCGCGTTGCCCGTGTCATTTCTCGATCAGAAGCGAACACGTCGCTACGCAAGCTGCGTTTTCCTTCCACGTGCCTATCTCGAGCGAGAGAGATATGCTTGTCCTCGAAATTGTACACTCTGATCTGGCTGCCAAACTGGAGGGTACATTTCTAGGTTCATTCAGGATTCAGAACCTCTTTCTGTAGAGCCCAGTACACCTAGTCCGCGGTATTTTAACCGCCGCTATCTTAACCGCGCGAGGGTACTTCTCCTTGGTCAAACTTGTTTAAACGAGTAGTTTGAAAATTAATGAGGGTAGAATCTAGCATTCCCGTCGCGAGATCACGGCAGTTAAAACTCTGCCAATACCGATATGCCCCCTATTTCGGACCACTAAGTGTGCGTTTCTTCAGACGGAAAGGCATCCAGCTGTAAAATAATAACCTCAAAGTCTCTGGGTGCCCATATCATTACCCGAAAACGAATAAAGGGTGTTTGAAACAAAACAGTTCACGTGGTTAAAATACCGCGGACTAGGTGTACGTACGTGCTGTACACAGTCCGAGCCTCTGAACGTACATGCGTATTAAATTCTCGAGGAGCACTGAGGACGAACAAACCTGAGGCGGGATTTGATCCCAACACCATGAAATGAAAAGAGTTTTGATTTGGATGGCAAGATTATTGTGTGGCAGCAACAGCAGCCGCAGCAGGAGCAGCGGAAGAACCTCACTTGTGCAGGAAGAGCAGTTGCAGTGCAGTGCAGGGTTCCCTCAAAAGGTGAATGACGAGTGCTGCAATACAGTTAAGTGCGATACTGTACAGAAGGATGGATTACATTACAGAGAATGCACTACAAGTAAACACCAAAACCTCCAACATTCCACGAGAAGAGATATTTTTACGAATAAATCTGTACATGAGAATGATGTAGCTGCTTCGTTATGAGTTTTTCTGACGAGCCACACCTGTCAGGTGCCGAACGATAGGCAAGTTCCACGTTGGCAGGTTGGGTTGTCCGACGCACCTGATCTCGATGACGTGTCAAGGTGGTTTGACCATGCGCGGGATGCCGCCGAACCCAATTTCCTGCCTCGGTCTGAGCTTCACCATTGTTTTGTTCCTCGTTCGCGCCAAGACTACATCCTCGCTATTCCGTGCTTTGTTCCTTGTCGCTTTGAGTCCATGTTCGTTCATATTTAACTACAGGTACTGTACATCCCAACCCACACACAGATATGGAACGGATAGATATGGAACTCCTCCGGATGTTCATTTACCAGACAGTTCCCTCCCTCCCACTCCTGCTGTTGTTTCGTAGGGCTAGGGCCAGGCTCAGCTGAACAGGACTTGCCTGCTGCCTTCTCCGCCGTCCCTGCTGCCTTCTCCGCTCTACCGTCTTTCGCGGATGTTTTAACTCGGAGCAACGTGCCACTCCGTACTCCAATGGCAACTTCACGGACCGTATCTTTTGCCACGTGGCGACAGGATGATATATACAGGTCACCCATTACCGTTCGCGTTACCGCGAGGCCGCCTATTCAGCCGCTTTCCCCAGCAGGGCGTGCAGCAGGGCTGAAACTGACGAGCCGTCTCCGCAATGTGCGCGGCATGGTCACAATAGCAGGATTACGCCGGCCTGGATTATATATTAGGTCACCACGAAATAACCAGCAATTGTATCCTGGCTATTTATCCCCACGCTCCTCACGACATTCGCCGAAGTTTCTTCGGCGAGCCGGCGGGAAGAAATCGCGGTCGTTGGTGATCCAAGCGACGGCCGGTGGACCGTCAGATTTCAGCGGCTCCGATGTCAGCAATAAAGACCAGCCCGATAGCCGTTTTCGCTCGGCGGACAATGCTGCTAACAGGAGTAACCTTAACGGGTCGAACATTCCGAATTTCGCTGACATGGCTGGTGCTTCAGGAGCTCATAACGGGTTCCTAGGCGTCAACAGGGGTGGGGATCGGTGGCAAGGGGCGGAGGGGGTGGGGTATGTGCACGAGGTGGTCTTTGCGGAAGGCGACAGCAGCGCCATGGTCGCGCAGTTCCAGCTGATTTCCGCCATCCGCGCGCTTCCCCCGATCGTTCCGCCGCCCTCGCGCGCTGCAGGGGGAAGCGGAAACGGACACGCCGGGACCCCGCGGGACGAGAGGCGCGCGGGGACGTACCCGCGGATGCTCCACGCGGTTACCGCCAGTGAGGGGGAGGCGGACGGGGAGGGGGAGGGGGAGGGGGGGTCGTTGGCGCAGAGCCATCAGGAGAGTCTTCACATGGAGGCTGAGTGGCCAATCGCGTGGTGCCAGGTGGCAGAGAACGTCCTCATAGGCTCGCCACTCGTGTCGGCTGCTGACGTGGACGTGGTGACGTCCAGGGCGGGCGTGACAGCTGTCGTCTCGTTACTGGTTAGTGATGCTGATGATGTGACCAGGTTTCTTTTTTAGTAAAGGACTTACTCGTCGCCCGCACTTCTCGCTCTCTCACTCCCGTCCTTCCACCTCTCTCTCTCTCTCTCGGATACCGTCCTTCCTCACTGTTTCTCTCTCTGTCTCTTCCTCACTCGTCCCCGCACTCTGATCGTCCTCCCCTCCCCCTCTCTCCCCACCTTCCCACCTCCCCGCCAATCACAGCCGTCGGAGCACGAGTCAGCACTGGCCGTTGATTGGTCCGCCGTGACCCGCCAGCTGGCAAGAGAGGGCGGCGTGGCGCTCAAACTGCCCGTGGGGGAAGCCGCCAGTGGGGGGAGGGCGGAAGCGGGGGCGCGGGGGGAGCCAGGGGAGGGGTGGCGGGAAGTGTTATCCGAGGGGGAAGGGGGAGAGTCGGACCTGGAAGGGTGTTTGGAGGAGAATGGGGAGGGGGAGGGGGGAGAGGACGTGGTTTCACAGGTGTTGGAAGCGGTGAGAGTGGTGGCGGCGCTGGTGGCAACAGGGCACAGAGTCGCAATCGTGAGCTGCTCGCCTCACTCTGCCAGTGCCCTCGTCGCTCTGGGGTGAGTGCTTGGGTCAGCACTCTGTTCTTGTGGCGCCTCAAAAACAGCGGTGAGAGTGGTGACGGCGCTGGTGGCAACAGGGCACAGAGTGGCAATTGTCAGCTGCTCGCCTCACTCCGCCAGTGCGCTTGTTGCTCTGGGGTAAATACGCTTAGCACCCTTAGCACAACTTCCGTGTTTCACTTACTTCCTCTATCTTTTTCAGCTTTCTCTGCACCCTTAGCACTTTCCCCGCCTCCACCACCCCCTCCAACCCCACCCCCACCTTCTGCTCCCCGCCCCATTCCCCGTCATTCTTTTCCTCGCTCCCCCTCGCTCTGTGCCTCTCCCTCTTACGCATTGCTCTTTCCACACGTGCTCGTCTTTCGAATCCTTCTGTCCACTTACGGGGCTCCACGCCTCGTTTCCCTTCCTCTCATGCTCCATTCCCTGCCTCATTCGTTTCACCACCTGTCTCCTTTTGCCACGTTTCTCCTCATGCCACGTGTCTCCTGATGCCACATGGGATACTACCAGCTACACGACATTCGTGAAGGGCGCGGACGTGGGCACTGCTTTGGCGGACATGCGCCGAGCCTGTCCGGCTGCTGACCCGCCCATGCGCGTGTGGAAGAAGGTGCGTGGAATTGTCAGGTGCATTCTCAGGTGGGTTGCCAGGGGTATGGCAATGGCTCATGTATGTGGCTCCAGCTGTCTGTTTCCAGCATCAGTTAACTTTGTGTATGTGAGTGCTTGGTGTATGTGCGTTCGTGCTTGTATGTGTGCGTGCATGCATGTGCATCTGTGTGCATATGGGGTGTGTGTGTGCATGCATGTCCATGCTTTTGTATGCATGTGTATGCATGTGTATGCATGTGTATGCATGTGTTCGCATGTGCATATCCGCAGGCTCACGCGCAGCTAGCAGGCAGCAACATGAGGCGTCTCACAGACCTTGCAGCGGAGGAGCTTCAAACGAGGATAGCGAACGGTGTGCCTGGGTCCAGTGCCAATGACTGGCAGGTGGGCCCCACACCGCACCGCACCACACCGCACCGCACCGCACCGCACCACGCCACACCACACCATACTCACTTATGCGATGCAGCCATTGTCCTTGAGCCGGTGTGCATCTGCAGCCTACAGTGAAGCTGCTGCCTCTGCCTCGTCCGTGTCTTCGAACCAGATCGTCATGTCCCTCCAACCCCACCCGATCGACCCCCCCACCCCCCACCTCTCCCCCTCTCTCCCCGCCCCCTTCCCCCGCTATTGTCACTTCGTATGACGCTTCTCCCCCCCCCAGTATTGCTGACTATTGTCACTTCCCTCTTCACATTCACATGATTATCGCTCCATTCTTGGTGCCTTTTCCTTCGCAATTGCCCTACTGAGCCGACTCTATTTATATTAGTAGTTTCAAAACTCTTCCTTCGACAACAACCCCACTCTGCATGATTTCAGCTCCGCTCCCACTTGTGCCAATCGCGTGCTGCCAGGTGGCAGAGCGCAAGCTGGTGGCGGAGGGCTTTCAGCGCATGGTGGCTGCTGACGTGGCACTCTCTGACGCCATCTCCAAGGTGTGTGTTGATCCATCCATGTGTGCATGCGCCTTGTTCCATCCATCCATGCATAGATGCATGTGCTATCAACCTTGCATGCGTGCACCTCATCTGTTGCTGTTTTGTCCCACCTGACCTTTCTCCTACATCTCCTCTCATCCTTTTCTGCAGCATGCAAGCAGTGTACACATGCGCACATGCACTGTATCATACATGCATACACACATACATGCATACATGCATACACACATACATACATACATGCATACACACATACATGCATACATGCATACACACATACATGCATACATGCATACACACATACATGCATACATGCATACACACATACATGCATACATGCATACACACATACATGCATACATGCATACACACATACATGCATACATGCATACACACACATACACCCATCCCCATACACTCACTCACACACATGTGTTCTGTACCATGCCGTGCCGTTCCCTGCCACACCTTCTCCCTGCAGGCGGCCATTCGCAGGGCAGCACGCGCAGCAGAGAAGCAGATGGATGATGTCCAGGTGAGTGCTGGGGATCCGGCCCCACCCTCCGCCACCCTCCCCCACCCTCCCCCACCCTTCCCCCACCCTCCCCCACCCTCTCCCACTCTCTCCCACCCTCCCCCACCCTTCCCCCGCCCACCGCCACCCTCTCCCACCCTCCCCCATCCTTCCACGCACTCCTCTATCCTGGCCTGTCCTTCCCTGTGCTGGCCTGTCTTGCTCACGGGCTCTCACCTGCCCTCCAAGTATCTCCCTCCACCTGTGGATGCATGTGTCCATTCTCTAGGCCCCTCCAAGGTAATCCCTTCACTCATCCCTTCCCCACGCCATGCCTCCACCTCACCAAGTTCTTCCGTCAAGCCCCCGTGACAAAGACCTGTACTCACCTCATCCCCGTGCCAATCTCATTCATGCCACCACGCGTGTCTCAACATCACATGTTCCCCTCCCCCCACGCAACGCCACATGCCCCTTTGTCTCCAGCTCACCTCGTCTGACCGTATTGCTCTGCTCAAGGCTCACATCTCTCGTCTCGAAGAGAAGCAGCAAGCTGCCGACCAGGCCGCCCGGGCGGCGGAGGATCGGATCTCCTTCTTCCTGCGCCAGCTCAGCGCGCTCCAGGACAAACACGCCGCGGCGCAGAAGGAGGCGGCTGCTGCCACCCAGCTGGCAAGTCAACTCGCCGGCCAATTGCAGTCCTTGCAAGCGAGAGAAGGTTCCTCCGCACCTTCTTCTTCGACCGCAGCCCAAGCCGCAGCTCTAGGTTTGGCAGCCGCCGAAGCTGACCGGGTGGCAGCTCTGGAAGCGGAGGTCCGGGAGAGGCGCGAGCGGGAGCAGGAGCTCCGGGCGGCGCAGCATCAGGCAGAGCAGCGGGCGGCGTCGGCTCGGCATCTTCTGCTCACCCTGGAAAAGGACCTGGCGAGGGTGACAGAGGGGGAGGCAGCGGCAAAAGAAGCAGCAGCAGAGGCGAAAGAAAAAGTAGGGTTTCTGTCAGGTGTGGTGCGAGAACTAGAAGGCCGAGAGAGGGACGCGAGGAGAGAAGCAAAGAGGGCGAATGAGGCTCTAGAGGTGGTGGCAGCAAGGGAGAGAGCAGCACAGATTCGAGTGCAGGAGCTTTCTGTGCAGGTGGAGCAGCTTGAAAAAGAGCTTGCAGCTGCCCAGGAAGCTTCCAGAATCGCGCACGGGCGGTGCGATTTCTTTGCCCGGCTTGTGGATGTTCTGAGGGAGAGGGAGCAGGCGGCTAGTGACGCGGCCAAACGGGCCAATCAGGCGCTGACAGGTGTCGCGCGGGAGTTGGAGGAGGTGAAGGGGAGGGAGAGGAGGGAGAGGGAGGTGTGGAAAGGTGCAGTGGCGCGGTCAGAAGCGGTGATGGCGGAGTTAGGGGCGACTAAGAGAATGCAGAGGGAGGCGAGGGAGAGGAGGGAAGCTGCTGAGAAGCTGCTCGCGAAGCTCGAGTCGGCGGGAGAGAGCGGGGAGGAAGGTTCGAGGAAGCTTCTGCTTCAGGCCCGGGCGGCAGTGGCTGACGCGCTGGAGAACGAGACGAGCCTTGCCGGGCTTGTCGTTGCGCTAGCTGACAAATTGACTGAGGCTTCTGCCGCCCGCACGGCCCAGCGGGAGCGTTTGGCGTTTCTGGAGCGACAGGTGGCGGAGGGGAGGGAGAGGGAGCGGGCGGCGGAAGAGGCAATGGCGGCAGCAATGGGCGGGCAGGAGGAGCTTCGGAGGCAGATGGACGAGGTGGCTCGGAAAGAGGCTGAGGCTCGGGAGGAGGTTCGGGTGCTGTCGAGCAAAGTGGAGAGCATTTCAGCTCAGGTTCGTCCTTGCTTATTAATCAGGCGCCTTGAATACAGGCTCAGGTTAACTGGTTAAGTGCATGATTGACTGAGTAACTTAGGCTCATTAATTTCGTTCCCTCTCCTCATTTCCCCAATCCCCCACCGCTTTCCCTCCTCAGTCGACTGTAGCAGAGGAGGTGGAGGGCTCTCTCGCCGTTCTCAGATCCCAGGTGGCATCTTCAATTGCTGAACTCTCCTCATTTCCTTTCCTCCCCCCCAACCGCCCCCTCCCCCCCTCCTAACTTCTTTCCCCCACACAGTCCACTGTGGCAGAGGAGGTGGACGGCTCTCACTCCGTTCTCCGAGCCCACCCACTCCCCTCCCTCCCCCCCCTTTCCCCTCCCCCTTCCCCTACCCGCCCTCCCCCCTATTTCCTTCCCCTGCACTTCCACTGTCGACTGTAGCAGAGGAGGTGGAGGGCTCTCACTCCGTTCTCCAAGCCCAACCCCCTCTCTCGCCCCCGTCTTCCCCTACCCTTCCCCCCCCAACGCCCTCCCCTCCTCAGTCCACTGTAGCGGAGGAGGTGGAGGGGTCTCTCGCCGTTCTCAGATCCCAGGTGGCGTTCCTCCAATCAGAGCTCGCCAGCGCGACGCAGGAAGCCACGTCAGCCACCCAGCGATCCACCTCGCTCCTTCACCAGCTCAACCAGCTACGATCCGGCGCCAGCAGTGATGGCAGCGCGGGACAGGTGGCGGGTTCTGATTCGCCGGATGAGGTTGCAGGGAAGGTGGAGGCACCATGGATTTCTGGAGAGGCGGTTAGGAAATTGGAAGAGGAGCTTTCAGCTGCCCGTGGGGCAGCAGAATCGGCCAATCAGAGGGTTTTTGTGCTGCAGGGGCAGGTGAAGGAGTTGCAGAAGAAAGAAGGCGTGGCCCAAGCGCTGCTTGGCCAGGCAGAAGAAAATATGTCGGCGCTTTTCGGGCAGCTTGCGGCTGCCCGGGACAAGGACTCGACAAGCCTTCGTGCGCTCGCCAAGGCTAGGTCAGAGGTTCGGCAGATGGCTTGGCAAGTGGCTCGGCTGGAGGAGCAGCTACAGGCTCGGGGAAACACTGCAGGAGGGGTAGGGTTGGTAGCATTGGGAAGGGGAGAGGGTTGGGGATTGGCTGGGCTGCTGGATGGGTTAAGTGCGGGCACCCTAAAGCTGCTTGGGATGGCAGGAGTGGGCGGCATGGGAGGGGCGGCAGGGGCGGACGGCGGGCAGAAAGAGCCGAATGCTGCCAGGCTGGCGGCTGAGCTGTCGCGAGGGGCTGCTGCTCTGCAGTCCAGGTGGGTTGTGCGTGGTCAATGCAGTCAATGCAGTCAATTCAGTCGAACCTTTTGTACTCTGGCTTCTCAGCCCGCTTCCTGTTTGTTGACTGTTTGCCGCGTTGACTTTGAGTACATGTGCATTGCATGTGCGTGGCGTGTGCATTGCATGTGCGTGGCGTGTGCATGGCGTGTGCGTGGCGTGTGCATGGCGTGTGCGTGGCGTGTGCGTGGCGTGTGGCAACAGGGTGAAGAAGCACGTGTCTCGGCTGGGCAAGAATGCAGCAGCAGTGGATGCAGCAGCGTTGTCGTCGTTATCAGATCAGCCCATAGAGGAGCATTTCTCACAGGTACGCCCTTTTCTCATACCTTATCATATCACCATTGAGTGAATTGTTGGTATACCATCACCACCATTTAATACCATCACCACCATTTTATACCATCACCATCTACAGCATACCCATCCCATCTAGCAGATTAGTGCATAAAGGAGCATTTGCTCATTGCTTACTGTTTCTAAAGGCTTTTGCTCGTTGCTTGTCTCCCAACTCATCTTGTTGCGTTTGGTCTTCAAATCGCCTTGCCTTTCAACTGCTTTTACCCACACTTATCTTAGCTGTCTTTAAAAGCCTGACCCGGACATCTGCCTGCTCCTTTCCTGTTTTGATCGATTGGCCAATCCCTGTGAGCAGGAGGAGGAGGCCATTCTGGCGTCGGCCTCGTGTCTATGTAAAGCTGTGGTGGCAATGAGGTGAACTTTGAGGCGCCTAAAAATTACTGTCTGTCTGCTCCATTCATGTCTTCTACCCTCGGCCATCCCCTGTGTGTGCAGGAGGAGGAGACCATTCTGGCGTCGGCCTCTTGTCTGCGGGAAGCCGTGGTGGCAATAGATGCCAAACGCCGTGAGCTGGGAGCGGCACCTCTTGCCGCCCAGGTTCCGTCCGCTTCCCGGGCGGCAGCATCGCCTGCTACAGTACCCGGAGCTTCAGCCGCCCAGGTTTCATCAGCACCAGCATCCGCTGCAGTCACAGCAGCAGCAGCAGCAGCTGCTGCACCTGTTGTTCCATCCCCCGCCGCTGCAGCAGCAGCAGCAGCAGCCACAGCAGCAGCCACAGCAGCAGCACCTGCAGCTACTACCGCAGCAGGAGATGCTATTGGTTCAGGAAATCAGCGGAAGCACAAGCAGGAACACCAGCAGGAGCAGCAGCAGGAGGTAGAGGCGAATGGAGAGCAAGACAAGAACGTGGGCGTGCAACGGGAAGAAGTGGCGGAATTGAAAGAGGAAAGCAGCAACGATGCAGCAGCAGCAGCAGCAGCATCAGCCACACTCACATCTTCCTCTTCTGCTGCAAACACCTCTCCCCCTGCCTCTCTTCCCCTTTCTTCCGATCCCCCTTCCACTGACCCCTCGGCTACATCAACCCAGCAGTCCCCCCCCTCACCCCCAGCGCCCTTCGCCTCCCTCACAGCTCTTTTCGCCAAGGCAGCAGCAGCAGTGGGTCTCAGCGCCCTCCTGTTCATGCCCCTGGCTCTCGGCTCGCACACTAACGAGTCGCCTCTTATCGAGTCGCTGCTGCAGCAGCAGCAGCAGCAGCAATCTGTCGACGTAACCTGGCGTGTGTCTCTCCAGCAGTCAGTGCAACCAGTCACGTTGCAGCAACAGCAGTTCAACCCTTCGCCAGCGCTGCAGCTATCGAGCCCGTCGGTACAGGCAGTATCATTGCAAGCAGCATCGCTACAGCAGCCCACCCAGCCAGCAGCTCTGCAGCTCTTCTTTGACCCGCTCACGCTCAAGCCAGTGCAGGCTGCAGGCACCAGGGAGGCGAATGAGGGACCATCCACTCTGGTGAGAGCTGTGTTGTGGGTGGAGGGTTCGCCTATAGCCATTGCTGTGACTACACTTGCGATGGCTTGTAGCTGTTAACGAGTATGCCTATGGCATGGATGTGCGCAAACATCTGGTCCACGTTTCATGCTTTATCTCTTCTACTCCGTACCTGTCCTCTCCTCTGCAAACCCACTCTCCCCACATTTGAGGCGCCTCAAAAGCCTATCCTCTCCTCTGCAAACACTTCTCTCTCCCCATTCCTTCTTCACTCTTTCTCCCCGTCTCCACCTTTCTCCCCGTCTCCACCTTTCTCCCCTACTCCACCCTTTTTCCTCCCCTGCTGCTCACCAGATCCCATTACCAGTGCTTAAGGAAGCAGAGAGAAAATTCCTGAATCTGATTGGTCAAATTAACAAACTTTTTCACGTTTCCCCCCTCACCTGCTGCACACCAGATCCCGTTACCTGTGCTGAAGGAAGCAGAGTCAGAAGTCCTGAATCTGATTGGTCGGTACACGACTGTGGCTAGGGAAATGAAGGGACTGGCTGCAGTGGTTGCGCCGGATGCTTCCCCGGAAGATAGGATCCAGGCTGCGTTCCTATTCTGCCGCCAGTTGGCGTCTCCGCCGTCCACGTCAGCAGCTGTGGTGTCTGGAGTTGGTGGTGCTGGTGGTGGTCGTGGTGGTGGTGTGGAAGATCCTACTTCAATGAGCCGCAATTTCTGTGCATCGATGGGGCTGTGGTAGCTGTGAAGCTATTTGTGGAACATATTGGTTACTTGATGCAGTACCATGTGATGTGAGGGCCTCATATTCGTTTTGGCCTAGGCTAAAAAATCAGAGTTGGCACAAAACGTTTTGCTGGAAGATCAGCCTCAGGTCTAAAAAAGGTATGAAATCTCAGCCTTTTTTTTTAAACCTAAATCAGCATTTTTTTCGCTGACTTTTGAGGCCCATGTGATGTAGTTATGGCTGAAAGACATGGACTAAAAGATAATACCCTCAAATTTCCACTCAATTAGTCCACATACTTGCAACATTTTTCGAATCTTCCTCAAACGGTGTGTGCACGTCTTTGAAAGGCACGGTAGAGGTGCTGGCCGATTTCGTCCTCCATTTTGGCACTGCTGCTGACACAGCTCGCAAGGTCTTGCAAATGCGAACTTCCACCGCACTGTGCGCCGTTAAACGCGGATGCATCCGTTGGGTTGTGATGGGTTGACAAATCAGGTCAATGGGGTCTGAGATTTCCGATACTGTACAGTATGTACAGGTCGAGGTTGGGGTTTGGGAATCCAGACCAGACCAGACCCAAACCATCCAACTGGGCCACTGGCTGAAACTCCATTGACTTCTTGGGGAGAGCTTGTATGTCGTTATTCAGTACGTAAACGCCCGTTATTTATCAAAATAAAGGGTGCGGAAACTTCGACAAACTTCGAGAAGTCGAGGGTTTGAGGTGTCTGATATCTCAAGAGGACCGACATCGCCCGACTCTCCACTCGACATGTTTCGAAATTAATGCTGCAGTGTGTACTGTATACCTTTTGCTTCGGGTGTTTTTGGGCTCCTGCAATAGTGTGGCGGGAAGTGGAAGGCCCGCCCGCACCACGAAAATGGATGCGTCGATGGGTGGTTGCTTTGCCGAAATCCACAGCAACTTTCTGTACCATTCATCACACGTGTTTGAGGATAGCTCATGCTGGGTTCACCCAAAATTCCAAGAAAATATCAATAATAATAATAATAATAATAATAATAATAATAATAACAATAAAGCATGGTGGCTGGTTGATGGTTTGCAAATGAAGGAACACGAAAGTGCGAAAGTTTCTTGGGGTTGCCCAGATGGAATTGCCGGTTTCTGGAAGGAGGGCTGAGTCCCTGACACAAAGTCCAACCGCGACAAGTTCCCCCATCGTCCATTCATAATGGGAAAGAACCGCAGTTTGCCACCTTGCCCCATAAACAGACGCAACTGCAGCAGTAGTGCTGTGGCTCTTGCTGCTGAGCTGACCTGTCAACTGAGAACCCGTCTGCGAGTGTCAGTTGCCACGTTGTGCGATCTGTGAACTTCTCAGAAGGCTTCAGCTGTAGTACACACGATACCCGTTTGACCAACCCAAGGTTGCCTTGTGAAGAGGGCTTTTAATTGATTCGAGTCATTTCGCGAATTTCGTCAACGTCACACCTAGCAAAAAAGGGCTTATAAAATATTTTTAACTCCCCGTTGACAGTTTGACTTCGGTCTCTTCTGTTTGACTTCAGTTTCTGTGGTTCGTATTGGTTCAGAACCACTGCAACTTGCTCGAGGGGCTTGTAATGTAGGTGTAACTGGCTGGTAAAAAAAACACGGGTGCAGACTTTCCATCTGGAGAAGGGCGAATTCGCGCGCAGGGGTTGAGCATCGTGTGTATCGGTTCCTTCCCTGCCCAACGCGTTCCTCTGTTCGCCTGCCCTGCTTCGGTGGCAAAAGCAACACCGACCACTTCCACCAGGAGCGACAAATATGCCCTGCGTTTCAAAGAACCACCTCCTCCCTCCCACCCTACGCTTCCTTCCCACACCACTTCCTCGATCTTGAAAAACTCGTCAGCTTCAACCCCTTCCATCCAACTCGATGATGACAGGACGGTCCTTCCCCACCTCCAGCCTCCACTCCACGTCGCCCTACTCTAACCCACCCAAAACCTTTCCACCACTGCAACTGACCTGCTACCACCACCTCACCATCGCAACCTGGACTGCTTGCATTGCAGAATGAAACCTCCAGGCGCAAAACGGTTCTTCTTCGTTAGGGTTACGTGCTGCTCCTGCGGCGGTTACCGAAACGCCCAGCAGCGCACGCGGGTCAAGCGCATCGAGACTGGAGAGTGGGGTTTCAGCTGCAGAAGTGGTGGAACGAGCGAAACAGCAATTTCAACAGCCGTTCAGTCGAGTTGGAAGGTTACTAACTTACCGTTCAGCTGACAGAGCTACTGTAGTTGCAGGCGATCCTCGACCATGCTAATCTGCAATAGGAATTTTGTCAAGCATCGTTCGCCGTGACGCGTCGAAGCGACATAAAGCTCGCTCTGGAGCTATGAATTAGTAGGCTGATTTCGCTCGTTTTAGCTAGTAACAACTCCGGTCTAACTAATAAGCTCTATCAGTCCGCTTATTTCAAGGCCCTCTAGACTCCGTAGCGTCGTTCGGCGGATAAAGATAAGAGGTCGAGCTTCATCCACGTGTGCTACTTCTGACCCGTCAATGCATCCGATATTTGAGAATAGATTAGGTGGCTGTGCCGCTGACGGGTCTTGGTCAAACGGCGGCTCCAGCAGTGAATCGGCCGGCCGCTGTGACGGCGATGGACGGACGCTCGTAACGGATCAGGTTTCGAGGAGTCCTCGACACATGCGCGGTGCGGCGATGGGAGCGCCCAATTTAATATCTAAGTCGACTCGAAACAGATCACATAAATTGGAAGGGGACGGCATTCGGCAGTTTCCGATTTTCCTTATGTGGAGACGAATATCTTTCTTGCGTTCTTGTACGGCCCTAGCCCTCGTTATCCTTCTCACCGTTCTCCACCCGACTGCAACCCTAGCCAGCCGCAACGGCCATGCCGTCGACTCAATGCGGCGTCCCTCTTCCGCAATAGGCGGCGGCGATCGCAGAGAAGCCGCGCTGACGGAGCCGCTGTTCGAGGCGCACATGCGGGAGAAATGGGCCGCCGTGAAACACGGCGCGCCGCAGCCCAGCAGCCTCGAAGAAATCGCGCAAGTGTTTCTGCAGGAGGGGTATGGCGACGCGACGGCAGACTTAGAACGCATCACCATGAGCGGCCGGAACGGCCGCAGCACCGTTATTAGTAGAACCCTTACTAGCAGTATCACCGCCCGCAGCAGCAGCAGCAGAAGCAGTGGCGGCGGTGGCGGCGGCTTTATCCCGCGGCGGTCCGGAGCGCTACGCGCGCTGAGTCCACGGTTGAGCTCTGCGGAGCGGGCGCGTCGGCTGTTGACCACGGACGTGGTGCCGATTCAGGCGCCGCCGCTGGGGTCGCCGCCAACGACGGGCGACCTTAACCAGCCGTGGTACCGCTTCGAAACCGTGACACAGCTGCGGTTCGTCGACTGGCGCGCATCGCGGTTCAGGACGGGCCTGCTGCTTCAGGATGGGGTAAGGGAGAGCATACGTCGGTGCGGACGGATTTAAACTGGTGCAGGACGGGACTGCTAGGTTCTTTCCGGTTTCGGGAGCAACGAGGGGTGGTGTATTCGTGGTCAAGTTACGATTACCCCCGCTCCTTCTCATCACTGTCATTTCTATCCCTCACTCCCTTCCCGCACTCCTCATCCCCCCTTCCCCCTCCCCCTCCCCCTCCCCCTCCCCCCGCAGTGCGAGAGCTGTTGGGCGTTAGCAGCGACGGACCTCCTTACGATGCTCTGGGCCCTCGCTTTCAACGCCTCAGCGCCCGTCCCGCTGGCGCCGCAGCAGGTCTGCGACTGCGGCACGGGCAGCTGCTGCAGCGGCGGCTGGCCCGAATGGGTGTTTCTCTACGCGATGAGCAACGGCGGCGTCGCGCGGGAGATTGATTATCCGTACACGGCTATGGATGGGTTGAGTTGCCGCGGACTGCCAACCGGAGCGGTGAAATTGGGGAATGTTAGCGGTTGGGAGTAAGTTCCGGCGAAAAGCGCGGTTTCGCTAATGAAAGCGGTTTCGCAGCAGCCAGTGTTGGTTTACATCGCGACAGATAGCGACGAATTTCGGGCATACGGTGGGGGTTTATTTAAGGGAGTTTGCGGAAGAGATATCGACCACGCGATGATTGTAATGGGTTACAGTTTAGACGCGACGGAGGGACCCTATTGGCTGCTGAAAAACACCTGGGGGCCGGAGTGGGGCGAAATGGGTTACATGAAGCTGCAGATTCTCAACGAAAGCCAGCCGAGTGGGAAGTGTAACATCCACAGCGAACCTGCGGTGTACCCGACTTTTTATGATTCGCGAGCGAACCCGTGTAACGTTCGCCCGCAGCCGTGCGGTGGGGGCACATGCATATTGGATTCGGATGGGGCGGCGCGGTGCACATGCCCCGCAGGATTCTTGGAGAGGAGGGAATCGACCGGGCCGCCCAAATGTGTTCGGGCGGACCCGTGCGGCGCGAACCCGAATCCGTGCAGCTCGGGAAACTGCTCGAATAAATTCGACGGCAGTTACACATGCTCTTGCCCCACGGTACGACTATACCTCCCCCCCCCTTCCCCTCCTTTCCCCCCAGCCCCCCTCCTCCCTCCTTCGACCCCTCTCGCGTTTTCCTTTCCCTCCCCCCGCTTTCGCCCCCTCCTTCCTGTTCTATTCCACCGCCGCTTGTTTGTAACGTTCTCTCTCTCTCCCCCTCCCCCCCGCCTTCCACCTTCCCCCCCCTCGTGGTGCGCGCAGGGCTCTGTGATTGGCGCGCGCACGGACGGCGCGATGACGTGCGTGCTGGGCACGTTCCAGAGCGGGCTGCAGACCTACACTGTCGCAGCGGGAGACACGTGCCTGGTGAGGCGCTGCTGCTGCTATTCCCCCGCTCTCCTCGCCTCTCCCGCTCCCCCTCTTCTTCCCCCACTCCCCCTCTTCTTCCCCCACTCCCCCTCTTCTTCCCCCACTCCCCCTCTTCTTCCCCCACTCCCCCTCCTCTTCCCCCGTTTCCCTTCTCTCGTTCCTTCTTCTTTCTTATCGATTCGCTTCCCTTTTCCCACTTCTTCCGTTTCCAC